TCAAAGAGTCTATGATTAACATTGTGTAAATAATTATTATATATGACCTAGTTATGATCCATAGGGATCTCATATAACTAACAGTCGCCCAATACCTCCCCATGGTCTTGCCAGATACTTTGTGAAAAACAGAATTTCTTGAGGCCACTGAAAAGCTTCAGCTTTCTGATAGAGGTCATCAGCTGGCCTGGGGCAGCTAGAGTAAGTTCTATATCATTCACAAAGTAGAAAATTAATTTAGACAGTAGAAAACTTTGTTTCCATATGTTTTCTTTCTATCTTCCATCTGACAGTGATACATAGTACGTCCACTTCCCTTTCTTATGATAGTGTAGTTGGCTGGATCCTAATAATATGGAATATAGTCTGCCTCTTGAAGTGCTTTATACCTTGCAGAATTAGAAAACTTTGATACAAACATTGCCCATTGGTGTATTAAGTTCTTATTGATCTGCCATGTTTCCATAGTAGTTTGCTAACTATTGCATTAAGATTCTTAGGAGTCTTTTCATTGCTACTGAATTTTCCACAAGATGGCATTGTAATTGAAAGTTAAGGGTCTGTGGAATTCTTTTTTTTTTTTTTTTAGGTTAAATTAACCCAATACAGAAGAAAGCAAAAGTTGGCCTTAGCTACTCTTATTGGCATTGTTCACTTGGTTTTAATGAGATCTGAAGTGTTTTATGGAGCATAGAAAATTATGGTGCTTCATGCGTAAAATGTAGCTTGGTCATCTCCCTCAGTATTCTGCCATACAGCAGTAAACTGTGGCATAACTTTTCTCTGTTTCACTAATGTACTCTTTTAGACATTTACATGGCCAGTGACTTTAAAAATTATTTCTGAATGTTGTTAGATTGTCACTATTACAAATCAGAGTTTTTAGTGAAATGTAATCACATGATATATATTTTCTGATATTTTCTTGGTTGAACAAATAGACCAGAACCTGGGAGGTTTTCTTTTACTTAATGTAGTAAAATACAAGTCATCATATTATAAACTTAGTGACAATAGTATCTGGCATACAGTAGAGATTTGATACATGTAAAATATACAAATAAGACATAACAGGATGTAGTGGTGATAAAAGGCAAGACCCACATTAATAAATTCCTAACAAATATTTATTTAAAATTTTGTATCATTGAGAAATGACATGCTTTGTATTCTCCAGAATATGGTAAATTGTCTAACATATCTGAGTATTTTAGTTTGATTTTGGTGTTTGGATTTTTTCAGGATTAAAATCTGGCTCAGATTCAAGGGTAGACTGCATGAGTACTGACTGGTAAAACTCATGTCTCCTATGGTAAAGGGGATGTTTGTAAGTGCAGCGGGAGGAATTATTAAGAGTCAATGACTTATGCACAGTTGAGAAAAGTTTTAAGGTAAAATTAACAGTGAAACCGCTCACTCTGGACCTTGGGTGATATGGAAAGAGAGCAGCTATTCCCAGGTGTCTTTCCCTAAAGAAGTATGATGCACAAAGTTCATTTAATTGGTTCCAGCGATATATGGATCTCTCTTGCTAGCAATTAAGATAAAAGATAAGTAACAAGCTGTGACGAACATTCCATCTTAAAGTCTGAACTTGAGTAATTAAATATAGACAGAAAGTGTACTTTCTCTAGTCTTTACAGAAGTCACGATGAAAGAAATGATCCATTCTGACGCAAAGCAGAGAATTCCATAGAGCAATTTGAGATAGAGAAGAAAATCGGCGGAACATGCTGAATGGGCAGAAATGGAGGGCCTCGTGCAAAAGCTGAAGGAGTTTAGCTCTACCTTTGAAACAATAAAGGCTTTTAAGCAGGAGAGTATCGAAATGTGATTTATTTATTGGAGCACTCCCTCCGGCATCTGAATAGAAATGGAGTAAAAGAGATGCAGCTGAAGCTGAGAGGCTGTTTTCTTTTTGGCAGATAATGAAGATAGGAACTAGAGCAGATTAGTTGGGATATAGAAGTCATGGATTTGAGAATTATTTATGAGAAAAATCCCATCCAGGCTTGGTAATGGATTGAATGTGGCGGAGGAAGGAGGCTCAGACATACTCTCAGGTTGCTAATATGGGTGACTGGGAAGATTTAAATTTCATCCACTGAGTTAGGAAATCTAGAGAGATGGGTATTTTGGGAAGATGATGCATTCAGTTATTCAGAGATTTTTTTTCTTTTAAAATGCACATGATTTCGGAGAGGAAATTCATTAAGCTTTAGTAACTATTTAAAACTGGTAATATTGTTATTTACAGAGGAAGAAACAAGAGAAAGAGGAAGCTGGAGCCCTGGCAGGGACCATACCCACTTCACTGCTCTGCCTGGCATGTCTCAGCCTTTGTTCCTGTACTTCTAAAATGTATCTAAGCAGTGTATCGTCACCCTGCAGAGGATCCAGGCTTTGGCTCAGCTCTACCAATAAGCTTAGAAATTGGGAGGGGGGACATTATGGAAAGTTCTGTTGTTTAAGGCATCAGGTGATCAAAAGAGGATTACTGCAAATCTATGCCTTTTCTTTTTATTTTTTATTTTGAGACAGAGTGTCCTTTGTTGCCCAGGCTGGAGTGCAGTGGTGCTATCTCATCTCACTGCAACCACCACCTCCTGGGTTCAAGCGATTATCCTGCCTCAGCCTCCAGAGTAGCTGGGACTGCAGGGGTGCACCACCATGCCCAGCTAATTTTTATATTTTTAGTAGTGATGGGGTTTCACCATGTTTGCCGGGCTGGTCTCAAACTCCTGACCTCAAATGATCTACCTGCCTTGGCCTCTCAAAGTGCTGGGATTACAGGCAGATACATATTTTTAAAGAAATATTTTTCTTTATTTTTTCAGACGAAGACAAGGCATCCTTATTGCCAACATCCTTAGCATTGGGAGTCTGAGTGCTGATCTTCAGAGAAGTCCTGGCCTATTCTGTAGTTGCTTTATTGTTCTAATGTAAACTTACAGGTTGTGGATTCATAGTACAGGCATAGCGCTCATGCAGGTTGACCTCATCTGTCAATTAGTACTTTTCTTCTGTAAAACATCTCCTCTTTAGCATGCATCTTTAATTCAATTTGAAGAAGGTTATTAAAATGTATTGATATATTGTGTTTTCTTCCACACGAGCAGTATGAGACTAAGAACTTCTGTGGGTTTTATGTAAATTATAGATTCTTTCCCAAATTTTAGATAGTTAAGATTAGTGTAAAGAAAATAATTTAAAGGTTCTTCATTTGTTTTTAGTATTTACAGTACAGTTGCTTTACATACAATTCTAGCAAAACATTCCAAATGTGCCCTGTTCATTGTCATGAAGCTTCTGGGATATCTGTATTCTGTAAATTGAATTTGCCATTTCTAGAAGGTTGAGAATGCATGAGAAATCTTGGAAGATACAAAAGCTGATTCACCTGAGTCTGTGGCAACAAGAAAATGCCATCTTCTGTTCTGGAAAAGGTAGTGCCACATATAAAAATTAACTTTTTGACATGCATAGAGAGTAATGAGTAATATGTAGTCATTATGAGTCTTCTTTGAAACTTAGGGATCAAAAGGAAACAAAATGAAAAAGAAAATTTGTCCAAAATAAAAGATAAGAAAGAGAACCATTGTTCAAAACATTAAATAGCCATAAATATTTTCTTCATCTCAGGAAGAACTTCATGGCATAAATAATAAGATTGTTTAGTGTCTTTATTATTTGATGCATAGGCAATATTACAACCTAATTTTTGGTCTCCATGCAAATAATTAAGTCCTTATGTGAAACACACCTGACACAAATAATCCTTTGCGAGTAGAATAATTTAATGGGATCTCAAGTTCTTCACAAATAGTATCTAATTTGATCACTGAAAAAATGTTCACACAAAGATAAACACCAAGATTAACAGGACTCAAGGTGATATCTAGAACCATAATTTTTTCCTTAGTTTCATAGCAACCAGAAACTAACTACACAGATTTCTTTTCAAATGTCTTATTGCTTTTCAGAACTTTAACACACAGTTTGGACATATGGTCAGTGGAAAGGTTTCTTATTGAATTGTTCAGTGATCTTTAAGAAAATGCATTTTTCCTTAAAACTTGCATAGCAGAGGCATCAGATAATTATACGTCTCATTTTGGAACTAAACCCAGTATGTTTAACTTTAGTTATTTTCGTGGTAAATCATAAAACTAAAGAAGATGTTTCTGTAACTGAGCTTCATAGTTATTTTTCTTTCTTCTTTTGCCAAGTGTTGCCCTGGAGAACAACTGAGACTTATTTAAGAAAACCTTGGGTATTATGAGTAATAATCCTCACAATAGATCAGTACATGCCTGTCTGCAATTCAGCATAGAGCACAGTCAACTAAAAAGAACAGTTTCAAGAGCACTCATCTGTTAGCATACTAAATAAATATTAAAAAACAACTACTTTATTTCTGAAGGCAAATTTAGCATTTAGAATGCTACTAGAGGCCAGGCGCGGTGGCTCACCCCTGTAATCCCAGCACTTTGGGAGACCGAGGCAGGTGGATCACGAGGTCAAGAGATTGAGACCATCAAGGGCAACATGGTGAAACCACGTCTGTACTAAAAATACAAAAAATTAGCTGGGCATGGTGGCGCATGCCTGTAATCCCAGCTACTCGGGAGGCTGAGGCAGGAGAATTGCCTGAACCCAGGAGGCGGAGGTTGCCATGAGCCAGGATCGCGCCATTGCACTCCAGCCTGGGTAACAAGAGCAAAACTCCATCTCAAAAAAAAAAAAATGCTATTAGAATAGTTCTACTTTTTATTTTTCTTGGAATTTCTTATGATAAATTCTAAGCGCATCATAAGAAAAGTGTTTTTAGTAGCAAGTTGAAGCACACAATCTTAGAACTAGGTTTTCTAAATTGAGTTTGTTTTAGTTTTTATTTATTTATTTATTTATTTTTAACAATTATAAATATTTTATGGATATTTTGGAACCCTCGTATTAATTCTATAAATAAATATTAGCCCACATCTGTAACAAATTACTCATGTTTCTTTCTAATAAATTGACCACTACATTTTCGAAGTTATGAAATGGCCAACAGACCAAAGATAATTCTTTAGGCTCCTGTTTGAAACCAACAGCATCACCAAACTGCTGGCCTTGATTCAGGGCCAAATGTTTCAGTTTTTAATATAGACCCACTAGAAGCTAAATAGAGAAGAAAAATCAATACTTATCCTCTACTATCATTATTAAAAAAAATTCTAAACTGTGTTTGATAAATTATGTTTTTATATTTTTCCAGCTATCTCATTTGATTTGTTTTCTCGGTTTCCTTATGATGCCATATATATATAAATAATGATTTAAAAGTAAGGATCTATGAACAGTGGCTTTAAGCAGCTATGTAATTTCTCCCAGAGCCAATTACTACGTGCAGTAAAGGATGAAACGCTGTGAAATAATAAATGTTATTATGCACTACTAGAAATAAATTCAATTGTTAGTTGAGCATAGAAACACATTTTTTTGTAAACGGAATGGTTTTAATAGTTTCTTGAATCTATACATCATGTATAAAAATGATTTTTTCTCCTAGTAGTTCAATAAAATTCAAATTCCATTTTTCCTAATGATTTGGAAGATGTTTTAAAAGAAATACTATTTTATGTGTTTGTCTCTTTGAATGAAGATGTGATTATTTTATACTGCATGCCTGTATCAAAACGTCTCATGTACCTCATAAATACATACACTTACTATGTACCCACAGAAATTTTAAAAAATGTAACAAAAACAACAACAAAGAAAAACATGTTTTGTTGTGAAAGACAATTCCTGCATTACATGGGCTTGGTTTCACATATCATTCTTGATAGGAAACTCTGAAGCATCAGAAAAAGAACAAGCAATAGAGCTATTTCTTATATACCATTAAGTTATTAAAAAATACAGCATAACCACTACCTGGCTTGCCTAGCAATTCCAATTGTTTAGTTTAGTCCCTTTTGCCCTTAATATTTTTGGATATTAATCTTAGATTAAAATGTCTTATTATGTTGACTTTGATTCAATTCTACAACGAATTATTTGTTGGTTACTATGTTCTTGAACTGTGATAAAGAGAATATAGAAATAAAAGAAAACAGAAAAGCATGAATTGCCCCTGTACTTAAGACATTTATAATTAAGAGTACAAGTCATCTTTCAGTGGTTAATAAAAATCATGGTGCCACCACAGCCATTTCTTCTAATCTAAATAATACTGCCTGCACTCAGCCCCCTGACTGGGAATGTTGTGCAAGTTGTACTAGATCCAGAGATGAGTATTTGACAAGCAATATTCTATCTGTGGTCTTGCCAGCAACTCTGGAGGGATTCACAGGAAGAGTTCCATCAATAGGGCATCATTATCATTGCCTCTTTCTGAAATGTGGCAGGGAGGACAAAGCAGACATGCAGACAAAAACAGAAAGCCACAATAACACACACACACACACACACACACACACACACACACACACTGTTTAGAAATTAACCAGCACTTGAGAGTTGCCTGGAGTTATAGTGCTGAAAAGGATTTCTTTATTTTTTTCTTTTTGGCCCATAAACAAATGGTAAAATATACTTTAATTTTAAATATCCAGAGCAAGTAATTATATATTTTTATAATGTTTGCATGTTTAGTTATTCTTGCATCTTAATTCTTCTCTATATTTAGCACTCTTTTTGCACAGTATGGATTCTATGTATCTATCTATTAATCATCTATCTAATCTACCCACCTACCTATTATCTATCTATTTTTACTGGTACAAAATTTTATGTAACCCTGAGCTATATCCTCCTCTTTCTTTTTTGTTTTAACTTTTATTTTAGGTTCAGGGATATGTGTGCAGATTTGTTATTTAGGTAAACTTGTGTTGCAATACTTTGTTGTACAGATTATTTCCTCAACCAGGTACGAAGCCTAGTATTCAACAGTTATTTTTTTCTGCTCCTCTCCCTCCTCCCACCCTTCACCCTCAAGTAGTATGAGTATCTGTTGTTCCCCTGTTTGTGGGAACATTTAGCTCCCACTTTCATTTAGCTCCCACTTTTAAGTGAGAGTATGCATATACCCTCATTTTTCTCTAACGTTATTTCTTGTGTGATAATTTTATGAGGTTTTCAAAAGTTTTTGATTTTATGAATTATTTTTTATTTTGATATTTTTTACAAGCAGCATTTGTAATAATCTTACATAATTAGTTGTCGTGTTCTGGAGCTTTAGTGAGCAGAGAAGCAAGGGGTGCAAAATGAGCTGATTTTCTAAGAAAAATATCTTATTGATGAAATAAAAGGAAAATGATCTTGCTTACAGATTAACATCTCCAGTGAGTGTGATTTGAAATCAATAGATCCCACCAACAATATGATTATTATCAGTTAATGATTTCTTTGTCCTGGAATCCAGAGAAGAAAATAGCAGATAGGTTATTCCCCATAAATGTCTTCTTTTAGTTCAATGTAAGTATAATTTCTAAGGTAATGTTTGCCAATTTGTCTCACATTCAATGCTAGATTTTCAAGATCCTCTGAATTATGGGCAAGTCATAAGTATTGGGATTTTTTTCCTAATTAGAACTAAATATAGTACATCAAGTTTAGTGATTTTTGAAATAATGCTTGATCTCATGGCTCTGGGTAGAAAGGCACATTTTCTAGTTTTTCATTCCAGCTTCTCCCATACACTGGTCTATATCCATTAGCATATAGGTATGCGGTCTGGCAAATACAGAAGATTCAATGTAGCTGTAAGACAACTTTAAGATATGACATGTTTAGTAGGCTCAAGGGTCCAATCATGTAAATGAAGACACATGCTTTGAAAGCGTTTACAGCACCATAGTCTGGAAGACTTAAATATTAAGCTCGTTATCCCTCCGGAAAGGAGGCAAAATCGGGAACTCCAGCCATCTTATAGTTACCTGATCTTCTTACATTGCACAGCTTGCATTGCATTTTTGTTTACCTTTGCTGTGCCTGTACTCTGTCTCCTAACTAACTGTAACATTAATTTAAGGCAGAAATTATTTCTTGAATTTATCTCTACCTTTAGCATGTGGCACAGTCTCTTTTGTAGAGGGTGACAACCTACAAAAGAAACATTTTTGTTGTTGTTGAATTATTTGTAATTGGGTTCTCCATTCTTTGGCATGGCAAAAATGAAATGGTATTAAATTCAGGCTTTCTCTTCCTTTTGCCCGGTGGACTGGAGTGTGAGAGGTAAGGGACACTGAGATAGGACAAGTATTACATAGGGTTGGGAAGAGATGAGCTTTGGGCTTTACTGGCCACAGCTCCACCTATCAGCTATTGACACATCCATTGTTTTATTTCAGCCTCAGAAGAGTAAACAGGTTGCTGCTGTTTGGTCTTTCATTTTTGTACTCAGAGTCCCATCAGCTCCATCCTCTTTAATGCATCAGAAGTAATTTGACTACTTCCGTACTATGCTGGGCTGTAAGAAACTCTATAAAGCTTTGTAGATAAATACTGAGCTTTGCTAAATTCCTGAGTACAAGTCTCTTTTCCCCTATTCTTTAGATATATAAATGTATCTGAGGGTCCTGTCCTTTGTACAGAAAATCTATATCTAGTTGGGCAAGAAATGAGGTGTGGTTAGCCAGGAAGTCTAGTTCCTGCTTCTTCCATGTTCCCCCGAATCTTAGATGTTTTGTTCAAGCAAGAGTTATATTTTTTCAGGCTTTGTGTTAAAAGTTTAAAAGTTAATTTGAACTTTTCAACACTAAAAAGTGAGAAGGAAATCATTATAGGCTGGAGGGCCAAAATGTAGAAAATATGCACGTAATATCTCCAAATACGTACTTAAGCATTTAAGATAAAATATGCAAGGAATAGATGTCATTGATGATGATTAGTTTATGGCACGTTGAGTACCTACCTTTTAATCAGTACCTTCTGTACAAGAGACTAAATTTATATTATCTTTTTGATTTATTAAATATGGGCTCTCTTTTCCAGATCAGTGATAAATAAACACAAAAGAGCCAGTTTTAAAAAAAATTGCAACCTTTCTATAGGTATACTGAATCACATTAAGACACTCATTTATCTTTTCTCCATCTTGTTTGTCCATCTTAGTTTTAGAAGAAATATCTTACCATTTGTTACAGAAGATTATGATCTAAGATCAAGGAATATTGGAAGAAGGCCTAGGAGGTAGGCTGAACTCAAATGACTGCTAATGATTTTTTGAAACAAATCACTTTATTGCAGTAAGGAAAAAATGACTTGATGTTAAATTTTGTGCAAGAGGTTGATGATTATGAGATGGAAAATATGGGGAAAATTTAGCAATGGAACAAGCCTTGACTTGTTTCTAACTGGAATGTGGCCTTGGTAGAAAATGAGGTTGGTTGATTTTAGTGGATAATTTATCAAGATTTCATAGACGTATATAATTCTAATAAAAGGTAAAGAATTTCAGCTTCAGAAAAATGCTATCAATATTGATGAGATAAGTTGACTTTTAAAAATGATTATAATTTTTCTGACATGTTAAGGAAAGATAAATCTGTGAACTATCATCCTTGAGAATGAGAGGTTTCTTGACAATGATAAATTCTGGGGAATTAACATTCCTGTGTTATTTTTTCTATTTTATTCACAGATTTATTTCATGTCTAAAGAAAATATAATTTTACTTTAATATAGCTATTTGTAAATAAGACACATGTGCATTAGTGAGAATTATTAGTAACCATCAGTAACAACATCTTAAAAGTTCAAGGCATTATCAATTATTTGAAGTGAGTTTATTATTTAACATGCCATGGTACTATTCCCTTGTGTGATGTTTTTTCCCTTTAACTCTTAGTTGACATATAATAATTTTACATATTTTGGGGACACAGAGTGATAGATAGGTCAATACATGGGTACAGTGTGTAATGAGCAAATCAGGCTAATTAGCCTATTCTTCACCTGCAACATTTGTCATTTCTTTATGTTGCAATTATTCAAAATCTTCTCTTGTAGCTTTTTGAAAATACTGTGCATTGCTATTTTAAAATTTTAGCTTCATGTGGAAAATATGCAGAAGTTTTTACTATTAGTCCATAGTAAATGAAAATATTAAATGTAGTCTATACAAAATAAATACTTTGAAT